CAATGACTAAAGTCGACTATAATATATTTATTCGTAGAGCTGAATAAAAAACAAAAATAGTAAATGAAGTATATTACATATAACATAGAAAATCTAGTCTTCAAACTCTTAATATTTATATGTGCATATATACACCTGTAGGGGTTCCATGACGTAATGGTTAAGCGCACTGATCTATCCCCGCTTTGGATAACTTTATATCATGCAGTGGTGATATCAATTTTCACTTAAAAGTATGGATCAAGAATATGTTTCAAATTAAAAATAGCAAGGACAATACCATTAAAAAATGAATATGGTTAGGTTGAGTTTTATTATTAGTATATTCTGGGTAGCTAATAGTAAGTTTGAGTAAAAAAAACATTATTTTTAATTCACAAATTTTTAATGCATATTAAAAACTGAGTTTTCCTGATAAAACATTATCTCAGAACTTGTTTGATAATAAAAAGTTTTGCAAAGTAAAAATTTGAGCAAATAATGTGCGTTTGCTTAGTATGTCATTTTTTTTCATATTTCTTTCAATAACAATTCTTAACTCTAGGTTTTTTTTTTAAATTTGAGATGAACCAATTATGTGTCAATGCTCATTTTTCTGAGACTTCAAGCAAGATGTATTAATGATCAAGTTTTCCAAGTGTAAAAAAAAATCAATTGAAATATATGTACCTATAGTCGATTCAGCAAACGTTGTACGGTTTGAACAAAATGCGATTCTGCATAACAACTTAGTAAAAATGCCATGATTACTTAATTTTTTAATAACTTATATATGAGATCATTAGCGATTAAAATATTGGGACAACTAATTTTCATTATGCTTTGATGTTTACATCTAAATGCTTGTTTATAAATATATGTATTTATGAATGTAATTGCTGAAATATTTTTATGATTCTGATGAAACTCTGTTCATTAAAAATCTAATGATCTATTGAAATAAAATAAATAGCCTAATATACGAATAGTTGTTTTACCTCTTCCCTGCATTAACGAACTTCATGAAAAGTTTGGACCAATATTGAACATGACGAGCCAGGATTGTGAATAGTTAGTCGACCCAAAGATATACATTACAAACCACGTTTGCAAATGGATTGTAGGACTAAACATACATATGGCAAATTATTAATTTAAAATATATACCGGTCAGAAGTATCGTCTAAAAGTATGTATATCTGAGGTACTAACACTCGAGCATCAGATTAACATTTGGGCGCAAGGTTTGTCGAGCTAAATGGCATAGAAGTGGTGAACCCTTAAATTATAAAAAGATTTTGAAGTTCTGAATAATAAGTCTTGTAAAACTCCACAATTTTAAATATTTTTAACTCACCAATCTCTATGATTGAATCGATTATTTTCATATATGAAAAAAGTTTTGAAACTTGCCTTAGGGCAAAAAGCCACTAAGGCTTATATACATATATGGTATATATATATATATATATATATATATAATTTGATACCACATTTTACCGATTTCCCTGAAAGCTCGACGGCTCCAAAGCTCGATCGCTCGATCGCTCCACCGTATGCAATGACGTCGTTCCCTCTCCTTGCATATCGCTGTATGCGCTATATTGCTATGCCATCAGGCGCTATATGGAGCTGTTTCCAAATGATATGACGTCACGGGAGGTCGTTGACTGTGGAAGGAAAAGCGGCACAAGTCGGTCACGGAAAACTGGGGCAACAGCACAATGACGTTTGCCATTAATAGCACGAACGAAAACCGACGGCTCGATAAACGCAAACGGGAGACGTATCCGATAGGTGTTTTTAAAATCCGAGGCAAGTTACGATTGGTAACTGGTAGTTGGTATAACTTGCTTACGGTCTTTAGTTTAGGAAGATATCAGTAGAAATTCACAACACTTTTATATTCTACAAAATGTCTAGAAGTTCGAGAAATATTGCTTGAGAAGATTGGAAAAGATGAAATGAACTTACAAAAAACAAACAAACCAATGGAAATGGACAGTACCAGAACGTATATGATTTTTAAATCAAAGAAAAATGTATTGAACCTATATTTGAAAAAGACGTAAATAGTCAACAAAGAGAAGGACGACAAAGATTGTCGAAATGGATGACTTGTGCGAGGAAAGAAAATATATGGTATAAAAATATATAATTGTAAGCCGAGGCTCAAGACAAGGAACTATTGTATTTTTTTTTCTTTTTTATATATTTGCACCTATTTCTTAATGATACATCAGCAAATTCTTAGGCAGTACTTGTAATGTCTAAATCGGATGCTAATCCATTGATCGGGAGTGCGAGTATATGATGGTATCCTGTTTTGCTGTTATGTATCCGAAAGTGGTCGTTTTCGCTTCGGTCGTTCATTCATGACAGCCTTTAGAAGGTGTTTAATGCATTGATTTTTGGGTGGTCTACGATTCTCTTTTTATAATTGTTGCTATATATCTGGAATTCCACATATACTGTATTGAAATTTAGATCTTTATGTATAGTTCAATTCATATATTGGGGCATTTACTATTTCTTTCAAAAGTTTACTTTGGAATCTTTGGATAATTGTGATATTTGATATATTAGATGTATCCCATAATTGGATTGCGCGAAAACAGAAGATTGGGAGGTAAAGTAAATGATACAAAATAAATAAAAACTCATACTATGAACCTACTTTTGGAAAGAGTAATACAAGAAATATAATTTCATGTATTACCACAATACAAGAAATATAATTTCATGCGTTTTAATAAAATCTCCTGGTTGATATTTTATTGCACAAATGTTATAAATTTCTTGGAACGAAGCCCAGGAATTGTTTTTTTTTTACATTTAGCCACATACATAATATACAATACATAGCTAGTATATATATTATATTAATCACTTACATCTTAATTTTACTATCATCAACAAACCTAATTATGTAAGGGTAACAATTCAAATTTTGCAATGATGTCAAATTGAAGGGTTTGATCAGTGTTTTTATAGAGTGCAGTTTCTCTAACAATTTAGCCCTGCTTACCTCAAATATACTACATTCTAGTATGATGTGTTCAGATGTCCCAGGAATTGTTGAAACACAAATTACTTAATGTATTATGGAAGACTAAAATTAAAATAAGTATTATCTTTTAATTTCCCATGGGTTAGGTTGTATTATAATAATCGTTCAAGAATCAAAAATGGATTTTTTGCATATCTTCGCGTTTTGAAGGTTTCTGAACATTTTGGTATACCTTAGAAAAAATGGATGTGTGTGTATGTATGGATACAATTACGATAATACAATTTGAATGATTCAAAAATATCTCTCCTTGTTACGGCGGAATGGTCGTTTTTTGGAATTTTTTTTTATTACAAAATTAGATTAAAATTTTTTTTTTAATATCAAAAATAATTTGGATTTTAAATTTGAAGTTCACATATACTAAAACTAAATAATTTTAACTTTGTTATTTAGTTAACATAATTCTCATAAATATTAGACAATGTCCTTCATTTTAAATCCGATTGATTAAGTTTTATTTATTTACTTTTTATTTAATTATATTAACGTCATCGTATGATCTATAACCTATAAGGCATACGAGCCTTTATTTTACAATTTAATACATAATATAAAACTAATTACTGTAAATAACATAAATTAAAAAACGTAAGTTACGTTACGTAACAATAACTATAATAATGATCAAGACATATATGATGAATTGTAAATTTTAACTTTGTAAGTTTTGCATTTTTCAATGATGACTTATTGAAATATATTTATTTGCACTTAAGAAATTAATTTTGCACTTTTTTCTTTCAAAAGACATGATTAAAAAATGCAGAATTACTACTTTATATTTTCATATAAATTTATTATACAAGATTAAATATATGTAAAAAGCAACTTTCTCCTTGTTCTATGTTTTAAATATTATGATAGGGCCTCCCCTTGTGTACAAATAGTGGTTTCGCCCTGCTAATACTTTTATCAAATTCCAGAGTATAAGAATCTGAATAATTGTAAAATTCATGCAAATCCTTCATATAAATTTTAAATATTTCGACATGGCTTCTTTTAAGGAGCAAATATTGGTGTTACAAAAGTGTGATTGATTGTTAAATTCAGACAATTGTTCTAGGTAAATTTATATGCCCTCCTCTTATCATAAATAATAGAATTGCCCACCTAATTTGTCAAATAAGCTTGGTCCTAACATATCTGCAAGTGCTGCTGCTTGCCGAAGACGTGCACAATCTTGCGCAAATCCCTCAATAGACTCGTGTAGAAATATAAGTATATTAATAATACAATTAAATACAATTATTATATTAATTAAAAACGAAAACATGGTGGTAAATTCAATTTTGTAATAAAATTATTGCAAATTATAGACTAATATGGACATTTTTGCAAATAAAGGAACCTTTAATGTAAATAGGATTTTATGAATGGTTTCATTTATGGGCATTTAGTATTATCTTTGCTTCTCTATATACAAATAATATATTAGATAAAAAAAATTAACTAATTTATTTATTTTCAGGATATGGATGTTATGATCCAGAACAAGTGAACAAGGGACACTAAAGTAGTGATATTGAATAAATATAATTGGACTTTTGAGTCGTTTTGTGGACTAAAAAGTGTTTTATTTGTGTTAAGTATTCTGCCAAATTTTGCAACTATGTTTGGCCAGGAAGACCACGAATTTTATTGAGGTTCTAATTTTGCTAGATGTTTGGCCAGGAAGACCACGCATTTTATTGAGGTTCTAATTTTGCTAGATGTTTGGAAATACAGATCAGAAGGACAGATTTAGATGGAAATTTGCGTTGAAAAAGATCTCTTAGTTGACGTTAGTAATTAGTGTTGAAGAGTGTTTTTAAAAAGACAAATATTTGCTTGTGATCAAACAATTTGCCTGGTTCGACTCGTAGTGATTGTTTTTCTCGATTTTTAAGCTATTTTTAAATTCGAATTTTTTATCATTTTTTAGTGTTTGTCTAGTGTTTTATAAAGGCCTTTATAGTTCATATTCTAGTGCTGTGATAGTGTATTGTTCCTGGTTCCTGGTTCCTGGTTCCTGGTTCCGGGTTCCTGATTTCTGGTCAGCTCTCTTCTGGAAATCACGAGGTAATGCACAGATTTTATAGCACATATCTATATTTCATAATATATTGAATAAAAAATGCTTCAATTTGTTTGTTTTAGACAACAAATTGGTAATCGGGATGTTCCAGAAGAATCGGTGATTTTGCACAAAGGTCAGTGCATTTTCATTCCTAAGCATTATTTCTAAGGGTGCGGTCACACGTCTCGTTGTGCGTTCACAAAAAACAGTAAACTAGGTTATAGTTAGGAAGTTGTAAAATAATTATATAAATAACTACTTATATAATTAATATTTTTTGAGTGAGGGCAAAATTGTGACCGTACCTCTTACTAATCCACAATTTTTTTTCAGCCTAAAAGACTTTTTAAAATAAAAGTGAGTGTAGTAGATAATAAAATTCGCGTAAATTAATTAGTTATTGAAACAAAAGTGTTAATTAAATAAATTTTGCATAACTTCGCGTAAAACAAAGTGTGTTTGAGTGAACAATTTGACTCTGTGCAATTTTGCGAAGAAATGCTGACATCTATGCAGCCTGAGGTAAGATCTAGTATATGTTTTAAATATAAGTACAAATTTTGTTTATATTTCTGTGGATTCCGTACCAATGTTTATCTTTAAGACTACAACGCGGCGCTTACGCACTCCGATATTTCGTCTCTATGCAGCGCGATTGCTTTGAAATAAGTTCACATTTTCAAAGAAAAAAATAATAAAATTTATAAAAAATAAAATTATTTAAAACAGTGAAAGTTTCAAAAATATTAAATTTTTCAAAAATATAATTTTTTCAAAGTTTTCCAAAAGTTCTAAGTTTTTTTTAAATACTTTCATTTTCGCTATGGGAAGTTTCAGCAATTAGCCTTGACACAATGCCGTGCACAACTAGTTCAAATTGGTTGTGATACATACTGTACTGCAAGTAACAAAATAAGTCTTCCAAAGCATTCAGAGTTTTTGTAATTATTATGTATTCACTATAATTTGCTCTTTCTTAAAATATTACAATTAGAGTTCTTTATTTTCCTTTTGCAAGTTAAAAGTTTCTATTTTATAGTAGTACTTAAAATATTAGTTTTGATTTATTTTGCAGTTGATAATTAATTTTGTTCAACTAGATATTATTAGATTTATTTATAAAAATTGTCGATTTGTGCATTTTAGGCACAAACAAAAAGTTTTTTTCATGTTATAAAATATTAATAACTTTATTGGTAGTCATTATTTACAACTTATACTATAATATCAAAATAGTTTAATGAAAAGTTATTCAGTTTAGTATAAAACTATAATTACAATTTACCTATTTACGTAGCTATAGCATAATGATTGTAAAATGAAGGCTGCTCTTAAAAACATTTAATGATTTATGATATATAAATCTAATTTACTTGCTTAAGCGTCAGATCATAATTGTCATAATACAATAACGTTTTAAATTATTTGTGAATGGCTTGAACATGATTTTAAAATGAAGTTAAGAATAATAATACTCATTATACGTTTAGTTTTTTGAATAAATATGAAAACTATTCTATAGATCAGGAGGAGATCAGCTTCTTTAATCTGAAATAAATTCGAATGTTTAAAAATATACTAAAAAATGATTATATATTTAAAATAATCAATTTCATACCTTACATCAACTCAAATACTATTTAATGAACCATTGTCATGTCCATCATTATCATATTCAAAGCATTCGTCGTCAAACTGAGAATTAATAATAATTGGATCTGCAAAATAGACAAATGAAGAAGCTTTTATAAGAAAATAACAAAATGAAATGCTTCAAATATGCATTCTTACTTAGCGATTGTCGTGAGATACTGTTATCTATCCTGTAATGATTTGATCTAGATCTGAAAAATATTACAGCTCCAGTTATCAAAATCAGAATTGTTAACGCCAGCGCACATAACGCTATTATCCAAGGAAGATGCAGTGGTCCAGCCATCATAACGTATGGGTTTGTATCATTGTTACTGATTCCATGAGCATGTATTAGTTGACAGGAATTATTATCTGTTTTTAAGTATCCTTCATAACAGTCGCAAATTCCAGGATTGACGCAAACTCCATTTATACATTCAGGACTGCATTCTGGAATACAAGTGATCTCTTTATATGAAAAAGTAAATCCTTCGTCACAAGTGCAACTTTCAGGTTCTGTACAAGTGCCATTGCCACAAGACTTGCTACAAACAGGTGTACATGATATTGTACTATCATCATCGAATATGTATCCCTCTAAACATGTGCATATTTCGGGTGAAGTGCAGTCAGCGTTAATACAACCTTGTGTGCACATAGGAGCACATATATTTGTGGAATTTTCTACAAATTCGTAACCACTAATACAAACACAAGTGTCAGGTGCTATGCAGAAACCATTAATGCAGTTTTCTGTACATTTTGGTTTACAGACACTGGTACTTCCTTCGGCAAACATGAAACCTGACAAGCAAGTGCAAAAATCAGGAGCTGTACAAGTTGCATTAATGCATTGGTTTTTACAAACTGGTTGACAAGTTTGAGAATCATCCAAAATACTAAAGCCCTTCTCGCAAGTGCATTGGTTAGGAGCAGTGCACTTCGAATTAACGCAAGGTGTTATACATTCAGGTTCGCAAATACTTGTGCTGTTATCGGAAAATTTATATCCTACATTACATTGACAAGTATCAGGTGCCACACATTTTCCATTCACACATTCGTTAAGACATATTGGAATGCATGTGGTTTTCGAAGCTGCTTCAAAAACATACCCCGTGTTACATGTACACTGATTAGGAGATGTGCATAATCCGTTAGTGCAAGGACTTTCGCAAATTGGTTCACAGATATTCCAACTTGTGTTTAAATGCATGTAGCCGTCTAAGCAATTGCAATAATTTGGTTCGGTACATTTGGAATTTATGCAATTCAGTGTACATACTGGATTACATGTAAAATTAGAGCCAACCTCTAAATCATAGTTCTCGAAGCATTTACATTGATTCGGAGATATGCAAAAACCGTTTTCACATAATGGTTCACATACAGGTTCACAGATGTGTTTACTATTTGCTCTAAAACTATATCCATCGTTGCAACTACATATGTCTGGAGCTGTACATTTACCATTTTCGCAGGGAAGTGAACAAATGGGTTGACATATAGATGTATTGTTTAACTCATAACCGGCAAAACATTCGCATGTATTTGGTCCAATGCACAATCCATTTTCACAAGGTGGATCACATTTGGGAACACAGTATGATATGTTATGCCCTTGTTGATATCCTTCATTACATGAACAAGTTTCAGGAGCTACACAATGCCCTTCTACACCCTCACAGCCAATACAGATAGGATCACATATGTATTGAGATGTTTTATTATACCCTTCATTGCAAGTACATGTTTCTGGAGAGGAACACTGCCCATTGGCACATTGTGAACTACATTTGGGAACACAAATATTAGAACTATTGTCATGTTTCACAAATCCATCACGGCACGTGCATGTTTCTGGCGCAGAACACACACCGTTTACACATTCGGAGGAACAAATAGGTGAACACACATTATTTTCAGAAGAGCGATTGTACCCTGGAAAGCACACACATTCATTTGGATTCACACAAACTCCATTTTGGCAAGAAGGAGAACATACAGGACTGCAAGCATTGGAGGAATTAGTTTCCAATGCGTATCCAGTGAAACATTTGCAAACATTTGGCTCTATGCAAATTCCATTTTCGCATGATGGTGAACAAATCGGATAGCATATATGGCTACTACTTTCTCCGATTCCGTACCCTTCGTTGCAAGTGCAAGAATCTGGAGCAGTACATTTTCCGTTTTGGCATTCGATAGTACAAATTGGTTCGCAAATTTCGGTACTATTTCCAGATAATTGATATCCTGGATTACAAGTGCATTGATTAGGTGCAGTGCATTTACCGTTCATGCAACTAGTTCGACATATTGGCTCGCATTTTGATAGATCTCCATCGGAGTGTTGATAACCTTCATTGCATGAACAAACTTCCGGATCCGTGCAAATGCCAAATTCTGGTGAGCACGATTCACAATGTGGGCTGCACGCAAAAGGTGTAGATTTCTCATAACCATGCTTGCACGTGCACAAATTGGGTTCCGTACAAGTACTGTTCACACATTCCTTGTTACATACCGGAAAACATTCGCCTTCAATTTCTTTGTAGCCAACGCAACATTTTTCGATTTTTATTTGTTCGATGTAATTCTGAAAACAGATATTATCAAATAAATATCCCTTACACTAACATTGGATAACAATTTAGAATAGTCTGAACTAAATTTGAAAATATTTTCACAGAATTTAGATTATTTAGATAAAATGGAAAAATATGCACTCAGAAATAAGCCAATATAATTATTTTCAAGCAATTTTTAATGTTTTTACGATTACCTCTATTCTAAATTTTGTCGCTTGTTTACTTCTGTATCTTGTACAAGTAAATATTCCTCTACATCGCACTTTATACGGCTCTCTATATACATGTTGATATGGAACTCTTCTAGTTACATTTCTCCTAAAAATTTTATATAAAAAAATTATAAATTATTCACAACGTCATATTAACTGTTGCAATTTTTATAACTTGATCTTATTATTGAGCTTAGAACAGACTAATTTATATCTTAACACAATGTATTATATACGAATTGAAGTGTTAGAATATTTTGTGTTCAATTTGTATTCTTCATTTCGTATTAATTATATTATTTTGAACTATATTATCCTTTCTCTTAATAACTGCTCTTTTTTGCACTTTTTGCTCCATATCTTTAAAACGGCTGGACCTGTCTTAGCCACAAAATTCTGCATGTCTTCCTGTCAATAGGCATCGAATGTTTTTTAATAATTCAAATTGGTTGATCAGTGCTGACGAAAACGTGGATGCCAATTTGTATCTACAAACACACACACCTACATACAACATACATACAAACTAATGTTTGCCAAAAAGGTTCAGAAACCACTAAAACGTTAATATATGTAAAATTTTCTTTTTTGGTTTTTGGACGATTACTATAACATACTCTACGGGAAGTTAATAGAGGTATAGTATTAATTTTTTTCAGTTAGAAAATAGTACTATCTTATTCATTTTAATTTTATCGATTGAATTATTAAATAATTAAATAGTAATGACTAAATAGTAACAGCCATATTTTGTATGATGATGCTAATGAAACAGCTTTTGATACATCGTAAGTAAACATTGAAAATATATTACTTTATTTCTCAAGATTTAATTAAATCTTTTTTTATATAACAAAAACATTTAGTATTTTTTAAAGGGTTTTTTGAGTTTTATTACAATTTATTTATTACAATATTTTATGCTAATGTTTGATCAATTTGTTCAATCTTTACAAATCTGTGTTTAGTGAATATCTTTTATACATGATATTGGAATTTAAATATTCTCTTAACTTACTTACTTAAATATTAAGGATTAAGATTTTATTACTAACTTATTAACTTTCTGTAGGGTAAATTATACCAATCAAAAAAAATCGAAAATAAAAATGTTTACATATCTTTACATTTCAGAAGTTTCTAAATATTTTGGTATACCCTAGGAAAAATAGAAGTATGTGTTTGAAATTTTTGTCGACGATTTCGGGAACACGGTTCAGCCGATTTGAATGATTCAAAAAACATTCAATTTCTATTCATAAGGAGACGTGCTGATTGATTTTTGGACAAGACAGGTTTAGCCGTTTCGTAAATACTGGGCAAAAGTGCCGAAAACGGTAACTCAGTTTCCAAGAGAACGGAGCGTCCAATTTTAATAATCCATAAAACATTTTATTTTTATTAACAAAATGAAGAACTAAGTACATTTTTGGAAGGCAGAGTTAGCAGTTTCAAAGATCGAGTAAAAGAAGTAAAAAAATGCCATTTGGCGGTCAAAAATGATCGTTAGACATGCACATCAAATTATCAGACATTTTATAGAGATTTTGATAAATATAAATTTTTTAACATGTCTATGGGTTCCGTAATATTGTTTGTCCTTTGTGTCTATGCAACTAAATGAGTGCGATTGCTTTAAATAAAAGTTCAAAAATTCCAAAATATTTCAAAATATTGGATTTTTTTTAAAAAAAAGTTTTTTTTTCAAAAATTTAAAAATTCTCAAAAATATTTTTTTTTCAAAGTATAAAAAAAATTTAATCTTTAAAAAAATTTTTTTGGTCCGGGTATTCACCACTAGTTTTTCATTAAATAACTACTACTTATTACGACTTATGTGAAAAAATAAGAACAAAAACAAATGTTAACCACTATTAGGCAGAAAATTATTTAACAACTTTGTCCTTGTGTGTATGCTACAAATTTCTATCTACTTACGGTTCGTATGTCGTACACCATTTTCCTTCCACGGGGTAAACAAAATAAACACTAATCACAACGGTGGCCCAGAATAAAACCCGAATTGGGGTCATATTGAATTTCATAGATCACTTTGTTGTGTACACAATGTATTTAACTGGACAGACATCACGAATGAAATGAATTTATCAGAACTTCGAACGGAAACCGTTTGCTCCGATTAAAACTCGGCGCCTTATCTCGTTCCGCATAAATCATATGTTAAGTTAAGCAGATGCGTACAATGACTACTGTAATGTAGAATTTGCAACTTTATTTAATATTATTATATATGCATATTAAATGTTCAATATAATCCTGAGTCCTGACGTGAAATTACTCGAATAATTATTTGGACATTTAGAAGCTGAATGCGCTACATCATTCCTTACTTTAAAACTTGCAATTTATTGTTAGATTTGCATTGAAGTTAAATTTAAATTCATTAACTTCCCTTAGGGTAAGTTATTGTAATCGTCCAAAAATCGAAATAGAAAATTTAAAGGTTTCTGAACATTTTGGCATCTACGTTTTCGAGCGCACGGATCAATCGATTTGAATGGTTCAAAAAACATTTAAATTCTATTAATAGGGAGACGTGCTGATTAGTTTTTGGTAAAGACAAGTCCAGCCATTTTGGAGATACGGAGCTAAATGTGCAAAAAATGACAGTTTTTTTAGAACTAAGCATTTGATTTGAATGATTTAAAAAACAGTATTCTTGTGTTTACGAAAGAATTGCTACTGTTTTTTTTATTTCAAAATTTATTTTTTTTCCAAAAATTTTGTTTTGTTTTTTTTTCTATTCAATTTTTCAATTCTGGCTAAAGTTCTAAAGTTTCTCTTCACTTATATGCATAGGGCCGGCCGTGGTCCCGTGGTAAGAACGTGGGCTAGCAAATCCTAGTCCCGGGTTCGAATCCAACCTCGGTCGGTTCGGTATCAAAGCAGCTTGATACCAAATTTTCACTTGAAATCATAGATTTCAAATATGATTTCAAATGAAAATGGCCTTTCGTGGGCATAGCTGTAGTGGCAACATGCCACTTGGAAGTAAAAAGTCATCACTATTACAACAATTGTAATAATTCAGCACATAGAGATGGGACAACTGTTTGGGTTGCCATCTATAATAATTGTAAGATAATTGATCACAACAGCTCATAGAACTTATAAGTTCTGATCGCTGTTAAAGAATTTTTTAAAAAAAAAAACTTATATGCATTAAATAAATAATTTTAACTTTGCAATTCAATTTATACAATTCTTATAAATATTAGACTATATCTTTCATTTTAAATCCGAGTTTTGTTTATTTACTTTTCTGTAATACATATATAGACGCCGTCGTCCAACTCATAAACTTTTATATTTTATATTGTGTCTATAAAATAAGACTAATTAAGGTTACAACATTTATAATAATTTATTTGAAAACATTTAATTTTTTTTTTAATTTTTCGTTACCGTACGGAAAGTTCCAGCAATTTACCTTAAGGCACGATGCCATACCTCACTAATTTCTAATTAAGATTAACACTTTTCGAATTTTGTTTGTCTCATCTGATAAAACGCAGTTGGTCAATGATGGAATATGCATCTGATATCTAATGTACTAGTTTATAAAGCCAATAAATCATATATAAAAAAAAATGACCAACACTTTCGAATTAGTTGATTTTTCTACGAATATATTTTTATTTTTATTATATATGATTTTGCTACAAAATTAAACATACATACATTTGTTCACAAATAATACACATGATTAATTATTCTTAAGCAATTTAGAATTCAGTAATATCGTGTTTTTGAGTCTGACTAAAACATTCCTCAACGAAGGGCAACCCTTATCGTCGAAACGTCTAGATTCTCTATTGAAGATAGATGTAAAATAATAAATGTAATGAAAGTATGCAAAATTCCATGTCATCTTCAATGGATTGGATATACATTTTCTCAGTAATTCAATAAAGAGTTCGAATATTGCTGGAAATCATCTTTCAGTACTCTTCAAAATTTATTTCAAAAGTTATTACTGGTGATTTCAGAGTTACGTGCAAATCTTATAACTATTAGATTATTGTACTTTGTAATTATATAATATAAAAAAAATATATATACATTGTTGACGACGTTGATTTTATGAGGAAACGTATGGGATGACAAATATCATTTAAAATCTTTACATTTATCTCTTTTTACTTGATGTAATTTCCCCCAAGAATTTTTTCATGCATTTCAAGATAAAAATCAACTACTTTTAAAACGCTCACACATATACATAATAATGTTAGATATTTATTGAGAGATGAACAAGTTTCCAGACAGATTGTTGTTTTCCTGGATCAATATACCAATAATATGCTGTATCCTATAACATCATTATTGTTTTTTTTATGTTTGATTGATTGAATTTTGAAGGACCAATTTGTTGTAAAATAAAATGATTATAGCTTTATGTATTTATTTTATAATAATTACAAATTATAATTGTATTTACAATAATTTCAGTGTGTTTTCAATATTGATTTGTATTGATTGATTTTTTATATGATTTTGGATTGATGATTTTTTGTATGTATCAATATATCGGCTACTTCGATTTGGCGCGAACAATTATTATGCGAGTTATGCATGACTATACGACTATACAAAAATATATTAAAACACCAAAATTATTAAAATTATATTTTATTAATTATAATAACTTGTTTTTTATAACCAAAAACGAAAATAAAATCTACAGTAAATTAAACAGTTTTTCTAAACTACTACATTAATATATATTCAACTATATTTAAAATAAAACATAAAAAATATCTCAAAAATGCCACTTAGCTTATCTAATATCAAATTGATTTGCTTTATTATTTTGTTTATGGCCTTCTAATGCAAACCTGACTTCCCTTTACACTGCGATCTTTTACGAAACCGACGTTGCAGATGCAGAAGTTCGGTCCAGAACATACTCCATTTGGACAACCATTAGGACAATGGCCAATGCATCTGCAAAATTGAAAATAACAATTACCAAAATATTCTTAAACTTGAAATAAAACCAATTAGTTAAAGTCGAAAATTACAAATTAAGTGACACAATATACGGATCTATGTTTTTAAATACATTTTGTTTATTTTTTCGATAAATTACTTTTTTATTATTATTATACAATAACATTTATCTTAATCATTGATAGAGATTTGTAAAATTAATTTTCTCTCAACCTGGCCCTGGTAGTGTTTGGCGGAGTTTTATGCAAGTGAAAGCACAGATCAACCGACTTGAGAGCCGAAAAAACATTCGATTCCTATTGATGGGGAGACATGCTGAATAGTTCTTGGCATAGGCAGGTTCATCCGTTTCGAAAATACGTGGAGAGCCGTTTTGAATTTTTGGAGAACGGAGCGTCCGATTTGAATGACTCAATAAATAATTATGTATCATGAATTGACGAAATGAACAACTAATAAAATTTTTGTCTAGGTCCAGAATTTGCAATTTCGTAAATCTAATAAAGAAAGAAGAAAAGGCTAAAAAAATCTAATAAAGAAAGAAAGAAAAAAATCAAAAATGATTATTAAGAATATGCACATAAAACTATTAGATATTTTATAGAGATTTCATGATTGAGTACAAATTTTGTTACTATATCTATGGGCTGCGTACCAAGATTTATAATGTTTAACCGTTAGACTGCTTACGAGCTTCTATATTCAAAATTTAAAAAAATGTTAAATTCCAAATAGATTTAGAAAAGTTTTATTTTTTTTTCAAATTTCTCTAATCTAATTTATAGTTTTCAAAAAATTTTAATGCTTTTGAAAATTTTAAATTACGATACGGTAAGTTACAGCAATTTACCTCAAGGCACAATGCCAAAAAGCAGTAGTTTTGTCTTTGTTGATGTAAATAGATATAGAATATAATTTGTTGTAAATAGATAAATAATACAAAAGAATATGGAGTACACTAATTTAGTATTTTTATTAGTATTATTTTAGTATATAAATTGCTGTAAATAGATAAATAATACAAAAAAAAGTTGGAATACACTAATTTAGTATTTTTTAACTTCCTGTAGAGCAAGTTATAGTAACCGCAAAAAAATCGAAAATGAAAATTTTTATATATCTTCACGTTTCAAAGGTTTCTGAGTATTTTGGTATACCTTAGAAAAAATTGATGTATGTGTGTGTGTGTGTATGTGTGTAGGTGTGTGTGCGTGTGTGTGTGTGTGTGTGTGTGCGCGCAGATACAAATTTTCGTCGATGATTTCGGGAACACCGATCAACCGGTTTGAATAATTCGAAAAACATTCCATTCGTATTGATAAGGAGACGTGCTGATTAGTTTTTGGCAAAGGCACGTCCAGCCGTTCCGAAGATACGGGGCAAAAGTGCCAAAAATGTTAACTCAGTTTTTAAGAGAACGGAGCGTCCGATTTTAATAATTCAAAAAACAATTTACTTGTATTGACAAGATGAAGAATTGATCAAATTTTCGTGAAGGCAGGTCTAGCGGTTTCGGAAATCTAATAAAAAAAGTAAAAATAAATGCCATTTGGCGGTCAAAAATGATTATTAGACATATGCACATCAAATTATCAGATATTTTATAGAGATTTTAACAATAAGTATAGAATTTTTTTACATTCCTATGGGTTCCGTACCAATGCTTATCCGTTAGACGGCGGCGCGGCACTTTCGCGCTTTGACATTTCGTCTCTATGCAGTTCAAGCAGTACGATTGCTTTGAAAAAAAAAGTTCAGAATTTCATAAATATGTCAAAATGAAGAAAACATTTTTTTTTTTCAAAAAAAAAATTTTTCTTTCAAAAAAATTTTTTTTTTGTCAAATTGATAGTCACAAAAATCTAATTTTTTTTAAGTAAAATTTTTTCAAAAATGTTGATCGTTTTTAAAAAAATAATAATTTTTAGTACGGGAAGTTCCAGCAATTTGCCTTAAGGCACGATGCCATGCGCCCCAATAGTTAGTTATTTATTACCAAAAAGGGTCAACGTTGCTTCCATGGTATTTGTGAGAACCTTTTCTCTACAACGATTTGCGTGCGGGAGACTACGTCACGTCAAATCAACAATGATATTCTCTTCTTTCTCCGAGAGAGACATATCTACAACACATTCGACAATACTACCTGCCCCTGCAAGGTAGTCATTGCCACCTCTGTTTCCCAGGAAGCTCCAGACCCTCTACAAAGACGTGTATCGGATCGGTATATATACTCAAAATAATCGCAGTATTGTGCGGCGAGAGCTAGCAATAAAACACGGAATGCTAACTGGTGGTATATGAAGGCAAAATGTAGGAACTTAAAAAATTTGAAATTTTTAAAAAGTTGGATTTTTTTTTGGAAATTTTGACATTTTTTAAATGATTTGAATAAATTAGATTCTTGAGAATTTTGAAGTTTTTGACAAAATTTTACTTTTTTGAAAATTTGTAATCGATTTTAAAGTAATCGCACTGTGTAGCTGTTTTAGAGATAAAATATAGAAGCGCGTAAGCGCCGCATCGTTGTCTATCAAATAAACATTAGTACAGAACCCATTAAAATATAAACAAAATTTGTACTTATTATTAAAATCTCTATAAAATATCTGATAACTTTATGTGCCAATAGCTTTCTTTTTAAACTTTCCGTAGGGCAAGTTATAGTAATGGGCCAAAAATCGAAAATGAAAATTTTTGCATATCTTCACGTTTCAGGGGTTTCTGAACATTTTGAGAAACCTCAGAAAAAAATGAATGTATGTGTGTATGTTTGGAGACAATTTTTCGTCGATTTCGGGCGCACAGATTATCCGATTTCAATGGTTCAAAAAACATTCGATTCCTAGTGGTGAGGAGACGTGTTGATTAGTTTTTGACGAAGACAGGTGTAGCGGCTTCCGAGATAAATAGTAAAGTGTTAAAATGGCAGTTTTTATGGATCAACCGATTTGAATGATCTAAAAAACATTCGATTCGTAATGAAAAGTGGTGATTAGATTTTAACAAAGGCAGGCCCAGCCGTTTCGGAGATATAGAGCTAAATGTGCATAAATGGCAGTTTTTGAGAGAACTAAGCATCCGATTTGAATGATTTTCTAAATTTACTTACTGCGTGTGTGGCAAAACAATTGCTTTATTTAAAAAAAAAATTTTTTTGTGTATCGAAAATAATCCAGATTTTAATTTTAATTCTTGCTAAAGTTCTAAGGCTTACTTATATGCTTTAAATAAATAATTTTAACTTTGCAATTCAGTTTATATAATCCTTATAAATATTAGACAATGTTACAGTATTTATAATAATCTATTCGAAAACATTTAATAATCCTCGACCATTTCGTTATGGTACCGGAAGTTCCAGCAATTTGCCTTAAGGCTCGATGCCATACACCACTAGTTACTTTTTTATTGGATCTCCAAAACAGCTGGACCTGCCTTCAACAATATTGCGATTTTATTAGATTTTTCATATTTCATTTTTATAAAAGTCGAACATTTAAATTTCTTTATATTAATTTAGTTATCATGAATCTACAAACAAATTAATACAAACTAACGTTTTTATTCATCATGCCGTAACCGTAGCCAGTTATTGAGAAAGACAAAGTTTTATCTTCTTAAAATTTAGAATAATGATATCAATAAAATTAATATTTTCAATTTAAAAACGTAGTATTTCTATCTTTGAAAGACGTATTTAACATTTCATTTGATAGCAAATATTGATTTCTTATTCAACTCACAGCGATAAAGCGCGCTGCATTTTTTTATTTGAGCAATAAAATAATATATCGTTCAATGAACGCAAAACTTTATACAAATATGCGATTGTAGAGTTTATGAATTTTATGCCTATTGTTACATTCCCGACTTATAATAAATTTTTATCTTTGAACATAATTCTATTGTGTTTGTGAATCATCGTTGAATGGCTATTAATAACATTTGTGATTGGAAGATTTATTGAGAATATTGTGTATGGAATTAACGACTAATGTGTGTAGTATGAGATTTCATTATAATCATTCAACTGGACTTGTTTTCAATTGTACTCTATGAAAAAACATTTAAGGTTCGAAAGAAGAAGTTTGTGTTATCGCGAGAAAATGTTATCTGACAATTTTGTTTTCTCGTCGTTTCAAATTCTTCTGAATCGAATGAGACCAAATTTGAAAAAAGTAGGTGTGTATGTGTATGTGAGCCAATTTTTTTTACTATTTGTCGATGTTTACAAAAACGGCTGAACCGATTTAGATAATTAGAATTAGCAGAAAAGTGCAAACGATTTTTGTATTTAAAATCGTTTGTGACAAAAAGACTCGATTATTTATATGATATGATGGATCAGAATTTCACTATCAGTGAAATCAGAATTTTTATAATACTTACATTATATCTACATTATGAAACTATTGTTTAATTATTTTTTATGCGAGATTATAAATAAAAATGTATCATATTTTAAGTTTAAATTACCTATGTTATTTTGTATTGTTGTTTTCATCATATACTCATACATGATTAAAAAAAACTTTGTTGATGCTACTAAAATAAAGCAAATACTTTCTTGTAGATAAAAAACGCGAAATTTTTGCATTAATATTTTGCGATTACTAATAAAATTTTATAAGTTTACCGTTGCAATACATTTTGAATATAAGACAAGTACATTTTTGTTTTAGAATGATATTTTTTTTAAAGCAGCTTGAACTGGTGATATTTGTATACGAATATGATTCCATTTCCGTATATAAATAAATTAATTAATACAAATATAATTGATTTTTTACAAAAATATTTTTAAGGATATGGAAATATCCATCAAATTATAAAATTATGAAAAAAATGTCGTTTCAAATATTTGTTGTTACATAAAACATTTTATATAGGTCGAATAAAAAACCTAGACCTTAACCGATTAATTAATTGGGTGTACTATATAAGTTAAGCCGCGTTTAAAAAGTATGAATAATGTAACACATGTCATAGATTATCATCCTAAATATCGACATTTCATGAATAATCCATGAAATAACAGGATGAGACTTTGGCCGATTTATTAGTCAACTATATAAATTATCTTATTTTGTTCCGGTGGCTGTCGATTGCTCAATTTGCCGCTAGTACACGTGGTTAAAATTATTTTATTCTGATTTATCATCAAAGCGAACAATTATCAGACATTAACTATTTGAAATGGGTTAAGATAGTTATATAATCTATTTTTATTATAAAGCTTATTAAATCAAATGTCAATCAAACAATCAATGTAAAATAGTGTTATAATCGACAAAAAGATATATTTTAATAAATATTATGCAACATAGCTGTAATTAGAACTTTATTTATTTTGTCGAAACCTATTGACAACCAAGAATTGCCAAACCTATTTTTTTTCACATATCCGATATAATACGTACAATTATATACTAAATCAATTGTTACAGTGTATCTAATTTATTAAAGAGTGTAATACATGATGGAAGAAGTATATGTAACATCCTTAAAATGTACACTACAATCCCTAAAATGTACACATGAAATACATATTTATAATTAGATTGAAAAGATATTATTAGAGCGCATGAATTAAACAATTAAAAGTTATAAGAATTGGCGTTTTTTATGAATTGTAGGGGCTTGACTGTTTTATATGAAGACAGTTTTATATCAAAACTCTATACCTTGAAAGATTACTTAAAATATTCGATTAAATGATGAGTTCGATTAAATATACCAATGCAGAGAAAAATATAGAAAATCTAACAAGACTATTGAATACTATCTGATTAAAGTTTGTATTAAAGCTTTGAAGACCGCATCAAAATCTCACAAAACTAAATATAGTATATTTTTAATAACCACAAATCGTTATTCACCCGTGAAGCTAATCTAAAAATTGTCAATTTTTTTAAATATGGAGCCGATTCTGTATTTAGTACCATTTTGTATGAGAAGCACTATGTAACATAGCCCCTACGTAACATTGCGGCAGAATCGGCTTCTATAACTAGGTTCGTATTGCAATTTTCGTTTGATAGTCAATACATTCTCAATTACGATTATGTTTAATGAGATGCTCAGGTCATTGTGATGCACATGGATATACTTTGAAGGATTGATAGTTGTTTACGGTTTGTTAATAGTGTTGATTTAACAGCATTATATGTACTATACTAATATATCACAATCGCTTAATGGTCGCATATTATTATTATTATAAACAAATAATCATTATTGCAATTATCTTACTTCGTTCCTGTGGGGTCCAACGGGTCCTTAGTATAGCCCCGTTTACAGGTGCACGTGTCGGGTCCGGTGCATTCGCCGTTGAGGCACGGGCGGGAGCAAAATGCAACGCAGTTCTTACCGGTGGCGTCCAACTCCATACCAGGGTTACAGACACATACATCGGGCGCCGCGCAATAGCCGTTTACACACCCACTAAAAATCGATGTAAATAGTTAGAACTAGATATTTTTATAGTACGAGGAGAAAAGTTTAGAATGACACCTTTAATATGGTTTAAGGGGGTATTCTAGTAAAGAGCGATGAATTTTAGGTCATTTTTAAAGTGTCGTAAAAGACAGCAATGAATGCTTTTACTATCCATTTTTACTACTGTTTATTAATATTATTAAAATACAATACAAAAATTAAAAAAAACGTTGAAAACTAAAGAAACTGGCGGCTGATGAAGTAGGGGGTCTCAAAAAATTGGCACCTCAGTCTTGACATGATTTCAGCCCTCATAGCCGTACGAAATAAAAGAAATGAAAAGATAATTAATCTACAATGATGTCGCAATCGCCCGAACTAGCGATGAATAAAAAATATTTTGTTACAAATTGGCGACTGTTTGAAAAAAAGTGTCTTTTTTTACTGTTTTTTTTTGAGTTTCTCGAATTTTTTAAAAATAGTAAAAATTTAAATTTGGGGATAATTCTAGTTCGGGCTATAGATAGGTCTATAAACAACTGATCATTTCAAGTGAATCGGTCAAGTAGAACTCGAGAAATCGTATCAACAGTACTGAAAAAGACTGTTCTGAGTAAAACGCATTTAAAGTTTTGCATGAAGTCAAACCAGTATGGAGACCGAGTCAGTAAAATGCCTATATCTCCGAAAATAATTCAAATTTGCAAAAACCTTCTCGTACCTAAATTCTTAGGTAGCTATACTTTGAAAATATGTAATAAAAAATCGATTTTTTTAAATTTCTATACTAGAATATCCCCTTAATACTATTGTTTTTTATACAACATCGTGCTTCAAATAATGTAAGAAATTTTCAAACTATAGCACCTACTTTTATTTATGATCATTATCACAGAAATTATTTTAATTATTAATTAATTCCTCAATTTTTATTATTTGTTTACTACTTGTTATTTTCTTATTGACGTTTACTTGAACGCCTGAACCGATTTCAGAAATTTAAAAGCCATTTGATGTATCTCAAGGGCTATTTTTTGTCAGTTTTATGAGATGATCTGCCAAGCCGTTTCTTTATAAATGGGAAAAAAGTGTTAAACTTTTCGCCTACATTTAAACTCATACTACCAAATCGCTTTTGAAAAAACAAAAACTTTTCGAAAGATTTTAGTTAGGAATGATACTGATTAATTTAAAATAATTAAAAATAAATAAATTAATTAAAAATACAATTAAAATAATTATAATAATTATAAGAAAAATCAAAGGCACAGATAAAAAAATTAGAATAATTTTTTGTTAGTTTTTACAACAATTTTACATTCTTGGTTTTGCATTCATCAAACTTTTGATTTTCTTTGATATAAAATAAAAAAGTTTTGTTATTTAATAATCATATATGTTTCTGATCATATATTTTAGGGGCCAATTTTTCTGCAAAATAGTTATAGCAGCAAATACATATCTTATTGACAATTTATTAGTACTAACTTATACGAAGATAAACCCCTAATATAGCATTACCATACATTTGTATTTTATCGAGAATTGGCTCATTACAATATATTACTTTAATTATTCTATTTTATTCGAACTGTTTGATAATTTTCATCGATATTTAAATTTGTTTTTTTGTTTAATTTTCTTCATTTAATAATTTTTGATGACAAAACATTTTTAGCATTAAAACGTTAGCTATAGTGTAAATTAATAGTTCGTATCTGTCTGATATAAGTCGATTAAATATGATTAAATATCTAAGTTCTAATGCACTCATTATCGTGATATCAAATCAAATGCATTTCAAAGACAATTCCATATTATTTGTATGACAAGCAAATTATCAAACTCTTTCACCCATTATGCAGATAAGCTTGACCTTTCTCATACATCGACCCGCTCGAAATGCACTGAACTGAAGTGGCAGCTATTAATTGCATATCGAAGGCAATGCGCAACGAATGGTTTCCGGTCAATATTTGTTTTGTGCACTGTTAAATGTTAAAGTTTTAATTATTATATTAGTTATGCATGTTTTAATTAAATTTCAAATATGAATGTCGAATACACATGAAAATAGATGTTTTAAAACTTGTGAAAACCGCATGATTACATGCTACCTAAATCGTTTCAGAAAGTTCCTAAATTACATAAATTATTTTTTCTACTTGTGCATTTTAGTTAGAATCTATGTAATTGGAGTTATATTTTTAGATTTCGTTTCAAACCAGTTTTTAATTTATTTTAAATGCTCAGCATAATGAGTCACTTTAATTGACTGAATCTAAATATGCATTAATTCTATTGATTTTGTATGAATTTATTTTATTATTTAGCTATATAATGTGGATCGTTTCGTAATTTTTAACTTTCCAAAAGAAAAGTTTGTTTTCGCCCAAAAATCTGATTCGCTAATTTTGTTTTTTACGTTTCAAGTTATTCTGAATCGAATGAGGCCAAATTCGAAAAAGTGTGTGTGGGTGTATGCGAGACGATTCTTGATCTTTCACCGACGTTTTTTTTGAAAAAGGCTCAACCGATTTCATAAATTTAAAAGCTGTTTGATGTAACTCGATCAGGACTAGCATTTATCTGTTTTACGCGACGATCGGCCTAGCCAGTTCTTTGTTTTTAGTATAAAAAGTGTAAAAATTTTCGTCAATGTTTTAGCCAACTATCCTGAATCGATTTTAAAAATTCAAAAACCGTTCGAAAGATATTGGTTGGAAATCATTCTGATTTGTTTTTGGCGAAGATCGGATTTGTTACTAACTATTGAAATTTTTTCGACTATTTGGATGAACCTTTTTATTATATATTTATATTATATATCATAGTCCCAAATAATATACTAAGGTATTACGGCACTACGACAAGTCATTTAATTTATAAAATTCAAAGTTTGAAAAAATATGATAGTCAAAATTTGTTTCAAACATCGCTTTTGTGATGTGATAAGTCAAAATTTAAATTACACAAAGTTACAAAATTTGATAGAATTACATAAATTAATTAATATAAGGAATAATAAGTTACAATTTCAGGGCATTCAACCACGTGTCTGCGCATCATAATTAAAATGCGTATATAATTTAAATGTGTTACACATAAATCAATTGGAATCGCAATGTTTAGATTTGAAAGCAAAAAGTTTATTTTTTAAATAAACAGTTAAAAATTTTATCGAAATATCTAAATTTAAATTTTATTTGTTTAAATCAATTATTTTATCACAACTATCGGGAAGTTTCTACAACTTGCCGTACGGCAAAATGCCACTTTCAACTAGAAACTTTGCGGATACTATTTCTTCAGACCTATATGTATGTTTTTTTTTTAAATACCCTAAAGAGAAGTTTGTTTCAACAGTGTACAACTGTACAATAAAGATTATAGGTATAAAAAGAACAATACAATCGACCCTTTTCCTTGAAGAATTTAGGGGCTGCATAATTTGCAGAAAAGACGAAACGGTACCGCTTTGTTCGACAACGTGCACATAAACATACGATACAAGTTTTGTCGACAGAATGTAAAATAATTTGACCAATTATAGTTTTACGATAAATGGATTAATTATAAAAATTCTTTACAATTTGGAATTATGCGCAATTATGAGCTCTATGTTAATATATTATTTATGATATATATCCATGCGACTTGCCTTTAGACACAATGCCACTTGAATGATAATTGAAATTACATTAATTTATTATTCCGCTTATATGGGGCGAATCAGAACTTGTTTTGATTGTCTAATAATACTTTTACATAAGTGAATGATATTAGATTCATTTAAAAATTACGTAAATAACGTAAATTTGTAATCCTGCATTTATGTTTTATGTCGCAATTTAGTTAGATCCATGCAATATTGTTTTATGCTACTAATTCACAAAAACTGATTTTAAAGAAATTTCATTCAAATATTTCAACGGACAAAAAACATCTATAAAATTGTATAATTTTATCTATATTTTTATATATAGAATTTAAATTTACAAAACTTGGTAAAATCTCGTCGTCAATTACATATTTACTTCAGATCTGCTGAATTAGAAATTTCGCTGATTATTATCTTATATGACTATTAATAAGTTAATAATACTATCTTATTTGAACTAGAAATTACAAAAAAAGTTAGATTTATACAGATAAATCTTGAAGCAAAGGCAAACACACCATGTCGCCCATGGACGATATCAATACACACAGCACATGATGTAGATGCCGTCCATGGACGACATTTACAGCAAAAGCGTTATCATTAGGCACTTAATTATGTTAATGTTGATTGTGATAAGAAACAAAAATGGTTTATAATTAGTCGTCTACTAATGGTCTCAATAGACAATTTCACTCTTTATTAGCTTTTCGTTAAATAACTTTGCCGACGAATTCCAATGAAACACGATATAGTGAATTCATATTTCAGAAATTAATATTCTATTATTTTCAGTTTTTGCTATACACAATATTGATATAGCAAATCATACCCAAATACAATCAATGCTTTAATAAACAAAATTTCCCCAAAGCATAAAAACGCTATTCTGATTTTCTGTATATTGCTTTTTCCATCTATTCACATGCAAATCTTGATAAAATAATTCACCTGGGACATTGCGGTTCGCATATATGTTCTTCCTTCGCGTACCCTTGGTGACACCTGCATTCCTCTGGGGCGACGCAGTCTCCGTGATGGCAGTTGGTGCAGTGAGGGACGCATTGGCCGACTTCATTGCGAACAAAACCCGCGATACAGGTGCAAGTTTCGGGGGCTGTGCAGTTTCCTAGATAAAATAGACACAATTTTTATTACATATAAATAGAACATTTTTGTAAAATAAGATAAGATAAAATTTAGAGTAGAATGTAGAACAAAATTATAAAACAAATCGTTGAGTTTTCTTCCTAGAAAATGCTACTGTTAATTTCCAAATCAATTACTCAATGTTTTTTTATAGACAGATTGTAATTTATACATAAATAAAAAATATATAAATAGAACATAACATACGTTCAAAATTTCTTAAACACTTTGCGGTATTAAAAATAATTTTGTAAAAAGTATTTGAGAAACATAAAAAAGCATGCAACAATATCAACAATTAGCAATCTTATCATGATGCGCAACAAAATTAAATATTCAATATATTCATTGCTCATTTCATTTGTTTCAATTCAAACACAATTTCACATTCAAAATAATTACTTGTAAATCATGATATGCAAACAGAAAATAATTAAAGCAGAATCATTTTATTCGTTTGTTATTCATATTTATTTCCATATTGATTTTCAGTCCTTTGTTTTAGCAAAATGATGTATTTGTCATATAAATATTGTATTTTATAAATATAAAACAAATAACGTGTGTGTAATTTGAATCGCTCATGTAAATGTTAATCATGTAAAATTATCGAGATCATACAAAATTCTTAAGTTCAAATCAAGTTTTATTTCCAATTTAACCTAGGTTTTTTGTAAGTAGACAAATATTACTCAAAAGTACTTACTGTGTTTTATCATTTGTCAATTTTAAAAATATATCAATTATTCACAAGATGTTATTAAAACGCTGACAAATATAATAAAACCCAAAAGTTGTGTCGTTGTTTCCAATTGATAACATTAACATATTTTTAAGTAAATAAACTCATTCTATTATGAATTTATGTTGCTAAAATTCATATATATTTGTAATAGTCATGAATTTCCCACTTAGAGCGTTCATTATAAAACATAAAGTAAAGGCAGTTGGGGTAGAATAAGATTTGGAACATTTAAATGAAATTCATAAATATATTTTTTGAACAAAAACAATAAATTTAAGGGTCCATTTTCCGGTAAATTAGACGTTAACATAGCGTTGCAATCAAAAAGGTTTTTTTTCTTCATATAAAATAAGAGAAAACTTTCAAAAAGCTAGTATGTACTTGCAGTGCAGTCAGGCGTTTTACACATGAAAACTAACTTCACAGATGTGTTATAAATACTCATCAGAAATTCAGTTATGACAACATTATTTTTTGAATTTTGTGCGTTTTCTAGGTTCGAATTTATATCTAAAACACCTGACTGCACAGTAAATAGCTAACTTTTAGCAGTTGTTACTACCAAGAAAACAGCGTAAAATAACGTTGCCATAACAATACTCTGTAACGGTTTATTTTAACGGAGAATTGGCCTCGTGAATAAAATTGGCATGTTTGTTTGTAATATTGAAACAGCCATTTTTCAATACTTGCACATATGAATATAAATAGGGATTCATGAACAAAATTTTTAAAAGATGTTAATTTTTAAAAGATGGCTAATCTTCGATTATAACTGATTTTAATGGGACTTTCATTGACGGGTAGCTGATGTATTTGGGCGTTTTTGAGGCTACTTTTATTTCAGAAAAATATTTAATAACTAACTAATAAATAATAACTTAATTTAATATATTTGATTTAGCTGTGGCCGAGATTTTTTCTGTGTAAAATTTAACTAAAAAGTTAATTCGTCTTTTATAGTTTTGCAACTTACCTTAATTCAAAACATTTTATAAATCCTGTTTATATCCTTAAATTATCTTATCTTAATTAAAAAAAAAAATTACTGTTTCTTTTTGCTTTAAACTATTCTATATATAAAAGCCTATTAATACATGTAGATTAAGTGCATTTGGGTTCAATGCTCAGATTAACATACAAGTATAACTACAACATAGAAGTATAAATTATTTATAGGTTACGTTAGTTAGTTAGCAACGTAGATAGCCCTTTTTTCGTAAAATTGTTTAAGTTAGTATCTTCCGTATTTTAAATACACGCCCATTAGATATGCTTTTACTTTAACGTCAAATCCAAACGTAAAGCGAACGAAGTCGGTTGTGATATAATATAAATAATCCTTTTATTTTAATAGTTTAAAATGCATGACATGAGTATAAATGAGTTAAAAGCTATAACTTGCTATTAAGGAATATACAGTACAATTTAGTGACTCATGAAAAATAAGGTATTTATAAAAGTACAATGATGCAGTATGCCGTGTGGAATAAAAAAAGAACGTATTTTATTACCATTAGCGCATCCTTGGCTGCATTTTGGAACACACATACGTCCTGTGTTGTCCAGTACATATCCTTCGTGGCACGAGCAACGGTCTCCGTAGCAGACCCCGTTGAGGCAACCGATGGGGCAGGTCGGATGGCAGAAGCCGGCCAAGTCCTGAGCGTGGTCAGGGTAGCATTTGCACTTGTTAGGTCCCACACAACGGGCATTTATGCATTCAGGTTCACATACCGGGTCGCATTTTGTGAAAACATGGGGATTGCGTTCGAAACCATCACAGCAGACTTGGATTCGGCTGTATAAACCGCTAGACTGATTTGGATAATAAAATGCACCAGATTACAATTAAATCAAAACATGTATATTTTTGAGGATTGACATGGCAACAAATGAAGAAATTTTGTGGATATTGAATAAACAAACTTTGTGTATAAATATGAAATGAAAGGAAACTGGATCAGACCCAATTTATCAAAAGTGGCTTCGCCGAATTGCCGAAGGAAAAATAGGACGGAAACAATAAAAATAATAAAAATGCAGATGTTAAATATAAATGAAAATTAAAATCCAAGGAACAACACACAAAAGCAATCAAGTTTGAGAATTAAAATTGATTAATAAACAAATAGGGAAAAATTAAATGTGGTACTTTCATAACACATACTGTGTACGTAAAACAGAACACAGACCATTATATTTTAGAGAAAATAATGTCCATGATGTTTGTTATTATAAAAGGCCATTTCTCCGGTACAATAAACCGTAATATAGCGTTGTTATGGTGACGTTGCTTTCATTGTATAAAATGATACAAAAAATTGCGAAAATGCTATGTATTTGCTGTGCGTTCAGCATGATCATCAGGCGTTTTACACAAAAAATTCAACTTTATGTGTCTTCATGTGTGTGTGTTGTAAATGCACATCAGACAGATAAGTGACGATAACATTTTTTTGACATTTGTGCGTTTTCTAAGTTGGGTATTATATCTAAAACTTCTGACCTCACAGCAACCACATAGCATTTTGAGAGTTTTTTTCTACCGAGAGGAGCGTAACATAGGGTTATGTTCTATTTTATCTGAGATTTGGCCTAAAAGTGAAAATTACTAACATTCTACCCTTGAATTCAGCAATGACTTTTAGCTTCAAATAACAATAATATACTTTAATATCGTATTACATTCAAATTATACTAATCTTCATGGTAGTAAATTCAATTCTTGTCCTAAAAAACAGTTCAACTTTTCTATAGGTCCGAGATTTTTCAATACTTTTTTTGTGAATTATACTAATAATGTAAAATTTATAGTTTTATGAAGCAATTTGTCGACGGTATATGTATAAATTTTGATATTGCGTTTTTGTTTAATTGAGTATATCATTCAACAAGACTGATATATTCATATAAAATATGTGCTGAAATATTATAGTTTTATCAATTTTATAGAATTATTTTATTTTTCTAGAAATACATTTGAAAATATTGGTAATTAAGTCAAATTGGGATATTTAACTTATGCTTTATAATTTTATAATGTGATCAATTATTACATGTTGTCGTAAATGTAAGAATAATGCAAAAAAAATTAAATTTCAAATACATTTTTGTAGATATATACTATTTGTTATAGTACAATAGAATAATTTAATCAACTCAGTTTACGTTTCACATGTCGAGTAAAGATTTTTATATAAGCTGCTCTGTGAGCGTGATTTGCATTTATTTGCAATTTTCAAATTAGTTAAATTAGTTTTACTAGAATAAACCACAGTAGAGATAAATTACAAAAGTAGATTAAGTAGTTGTATAGAAGCATTTCTGGTAATCAAATATTTGCGGTCGATACGGATTATCTGCAGAATGCAGAGGAACGCGAATCGTGAGATAATTGGTTTTGGCAACGCAGAAACCACAAAATGTTTTTATAAATGTAATCGTATGATTAATAAAAAATTATCTCAATAATTATATTATAACATGGACATATTCCAAAGTTATTTAAAAATACTTAGTAAAATAATATAAAGATTTGCAAAAACTTACTCCATTTCCTGCTGGTACTGGGAGGTTTGGATTTTGAACCAGTGAAGCTGTTCTGTGGAGAAATTTAGAGTTAATTATATTTTAATAAATAAAAAAATTCAAATTAGGTAATTTATATTTACATTTTTTGTGAATTATTTAAACTAAACGTAATTAGCATTTTAGATTATAGTCACCAAGGTTTGTAATTATTTCATGATTTTCAAAAAGTTGTAATAATATGTCATCATATAAGATGATAAAAAGTGCAGGATTTATATAATTGCAACAAATTTTGATTTTCAAGTACTACTGGAAAATTAAGTCTGATATGGTAGAATTTGAGGTCTGTCAGTCTTGAATCTTGAATTTTTGGTAGACAAGATATTAATATTAAGATATTAATATTAACATATAAATTAATATGAGACTAAATAGTAGTAACACAAAACAGACATTAAAACTTCAAATATATGATTAATAATTTCAATATTTCCAAATTATAACATAAAATAATAAATATACATTATCAGAGATAAAATAATTCAAAAAAAAATTACTGAAACTAATTGCGATTATTTAATTTATCCATATTATCTCTATTTATCTCTATCTATTTATCTATCTTTATCTATATCAAATTATAACATAAAATAATAAATATACGTTATCAGAGATAAAATCATTCAGAAAAAAGTACTGAAACTAATTGCGATTATTTAATTTATCTATATAGGGTAAGGTTGCTAAAGTCGCACTTCCTAAGAATATAGTGCTATATTTAGTGCAATTAAACTAAAAGGTAATTTTTGACGTATATTGAAACCTTATTTAGTTGGCTTAAGATTAACAGTTATTAAACTTATAATCTTGTTCATTCAATCATTACTTTTATAATTTTTAAAAAGATATTTTTGGTACGATGATGACGCCTTAGTCGTACCTACTACTAAAAACTATCGAATGCAGTCTGTGATCAAGTTGAAGATAATTATTAGAACCACACCTAAAATAAAATGATTATCACAAAAAGTAAGTCTATCATAAGAATCGAGATGGAATTGTTCATAAAGATACTCCTTCTACTTGTAATAAACATAAGTTTATTGTATTAATTTATTATTTTTTCATATTCAATAAAATAAATCCATAAAACTTTACAACTTAATAATAATCATAAAAGGCTACTGATACGAGACAACCTGAGAAAATTCTACGATTGAATCATGTCTAAAATATTGTAAAAAACAAAGAGTTAATTTTTAATTATCACATGAAGTAAAGCAGAAGTACGATGTAGACTGTGGTACGACTTTAACAACCTTACCCTATATGGGAAAAATGTGTTGAGATTCCATGAAACATATAAAGATCAACTTCTCAAAAACAAATATTTAAGTTACAGGAATGTTTCAAAAATAAACTTTGAAATAGGCTTGCATTCCAATATTTTACAATAATATATTGATAAACAATAGATGCAAAAGCATCCATAATGGAAAAATTCTGTCGTAAAATAGATCAAATATCTGAAGACTATGTTACGCTGCTGTTTTCAATTGAAATAGTTCTAAAAGCCGTCAAAATGCTATGTATGTAAAACATCCATAATGGAAAAATTCTGTCGTAAAATAGACCAAATATCTGAAGACTATGTTACGCTGCTGTTTTCAATTGAAATAGTTCTAAAAGCCGTCAAAATGCTATGTATGTAAAACCTAATCTAGAAAATCCACTAACGCCAAAAAATAATCTTGCCATAAGTTACCATCTTCGTGTTGTGTCTTAATATAAGAGAAGTAAATTTTATGTGTGAAACGTCTGATCGCACAGCAAATACATACATACACAGCAAATAAATAGCATGTTGGCAGTTTTTAGTACCATTTTATATGAAAAACGCAACGTGATGTAGCGTTGCCATAACATTGGTCTATTTTAGGGCAGAATTGGCTCATGAATTTTCTGTAACTCAAGTAGTAAAATCGAGTAGTTCAATCGATACTTGAGTTTGAATATCCATTATCATACTTACGGGACTTCTTTATAGCAAATTCCGCTCGGAATCGGTCCGAAATAATCCGTTGCATTAGTCTGCACTCGGTGCAACAACGGGGGCGGTAGTCTAGTTCTATTGACGTAGCCCTGCACGAATGCATCGGTCGCATTCTGCAATGCGAAGTGGCTCTCCGATTGTAGACGGTCTTGTATGTTGCCATAACGACCACCTTTGACGCCCTTTATGCCCTCATTCTGTGCCAGACACACACCACACACCAGGAGCAGGACGAAAAACCACATCGGCATGGTGAACTGTTGTCTGAATGGAAATCGGAAATTTGTTAATATGATTATACTCCTAAACAATATTAGAATACCCCGTGTTCTAATATTATAGTCTAATATATCATATAGACGTTTCTCTCGTCCGATTTTTACGTTCAGAAGAAAAACTTAAAGGGTCCTTCGCTCGACGTGATGGCGCTGCTTTTGGCACTCAAATTAATGGCGCAAAATTTGAAATGAAAATTAATGAATTTTAGTACACGGGTATTTGAAACTAAATTTGGTATTACAATCGTATTATGTTTTGTAATAATATAATAATAACAAAAATATACTAGATAATATTATATTATAATAAATATACAATCAAATCGAAATATAAATCAATAAATACACTGCCGGTTTATATATAATAAATATCACGTCTAATCTACTGGAATAACTTCTACACTTTTTCTACTTATTAATATAAATATTTAGTTAAATTTTGTGAATACTGCATTATAGTGTAAGTTCATTACATCGTCTGTCATTCTTAACTCTAATTAACTAATAATCATCCCGTGCAAAATTTGACATTCTTAAGCAATTCATTTTCTCCCAAGTATATTCAGATCTGTGTGAAGTGGTAATCCAAATTTAAACAGCTTGAAGATTTCTATTTGTGTAATATGTCTTTCTTGTAGAAGCTTATACTTGATTTCTTACACAATTTCCTAGAACTGGCCTCTTTCCTTAAAGTGTATTATGATAAGACTAATGTGTCAATGCACTACGTAGTAATTATGTCCTCCATATGAGTTTGAAGCTGTTCTATTCATATTATCAAAGGCCTATGCATTTGAGAGCAATTCCTGATAAGATATTTATTAACAAATATATAAATGCAAACGATCAAGAATTGCCATTTTGTAAACTGACACAAAAATAACACTAACGTTTCTTAGTAACCAACATAAAACACTTGAAAATACTTTTTCATCGGCTCACTAGCGCCAAAT